AAAAATGGACTCGCAACCATCAGAGAAAGAAGAGTAGGGGTTCGGAGACCCGTAAAGAGGATGATCGCGCACCTCGGCGGCGCCTCCCTTGACAGCCGCTGCTGCCAATGGACCCGTTCCTACAGTACGTAGTACGGAGTAGACACTTGAAAATATTGCTACGCTCGGCTGGCATTACTACAGCGAGTGCAGAGCACTGGCACATATGCTGCTCCTAGCGCCCGCAGTCCGAGATCGACGGCTTGATCCCGCGAAGCGTCCGAGCGTGCGTTGGGAATTCCAAGCCGTTCTTCATCTGGTTCATAACGTCCCTTCAGCTTCTTTCATCCAGGCACCCCGAACAGCTGGATCCAGGTACCACGCCAAGCGTCTCCAGCAACGCGAGCCCGTTCGACATCCTGACGGAAGCAACCTGGCTTGCCGCTACTAGATGATATCGAGTCCAGAGCAGACGCCATGTTCGGCTGGCGGCGACTGCTTCGAACGCCTTTGGAACTCATTGAAACAGTTTGGCAACCTCTGACGTGTCCCTGTCTCGTTAGTTGAGAATATATCAACTGATTTGGTGCTGGGGTGCGAAGCAGGAGTCGTTGTTTTCTCGCTCCCCCATTTCCTGCTCCCCCGCCCATTGCCCCCCATCCCACTTCCCGTCTGCTAGTCGTTACGCCACAGACGTTGGCCTGCTGAAGCTGAGCCGCCGTGGTGTGGCTCTGAGGTTGATCTTGATGCCCCTGTGAGTTCAGATGCCTACATCCCAGCAGGTGATTCCCAGATCGTGAGGCTGCTCTTCGACCTAAACAAGTCCGAGTTGAGGTCTTGTCGGTCCTTTTCTTCATAACTTGCTTACAGGCTGGGTCAGATATTGGCAGGCCTTGGCTAATATTGAACCAGACTATCATTTTTGACAGGTGTTTCCTTTTCTTTTCACCAATATTTAATGACCCTCATATTAATACCCAATATTAAGTGGTAGGACGGACGGGACTGTGCTCAATTTTTGTTGGTACGGACGCTTCAATGCGCAAAAGTGGCGCCCCCAAATTTCAACAGTTCTCACTCTCTTGCCGGGAATCATGCTACAATAAAAGCCACAAATTTGAACATCTGGAACATGATTGGTGCATGAAACTTGCAATATAAAAAAAAAATATGTTGACAATGATGTCGTATAATCATGGCGCAGCATAACAGGGCCGCCCCTGACACGCCGACGAGGAAATATTACCCTACTCTTATGTATGAGTTTGCGGATTCGGCCCAAGGGTGCGCAAATCGCAGGTTTTGCCACAATTGATCGCAAGCCCAACTCCAGCAATAGGGCATCAGGAAGCAGTGCTCGTTGTCAACCACGCACCATCCTGAACAGTCGTCAGCTAATAACCTTTTTAAAGCAGAAACGGGATACGAGGAGAAAAGAGGTACCTATAATCTGGCTTCGTCAATGAAGTTCCCCGGGAACGCTCCGACTCATGTCTACCGGCTAGCTATATATCAATCTTCCAAAACTCCGGCTCTTAGCTGAACCCACTATAGCATCAATGATCCAAAGAAGCAGTTCACTATGTAAATTCCAGAAAAGGTACTCCGTACGTTCGGGGGATTCTAACCGCTATCCAGTGTTTCTGACACTCTCACAGAGGATACCTGGCATTCACATCTACCCCAAGACATCGGCGATGTTTCTGCTGGCATACTTACACTCGTCGGCCTCGCTGCCGTTCAAGAGCGCACACAATTAATTATCTGCCAAACCTTCGATTCTTGATCTCATAGTTCTTGTGCCTGGAATTCACCTCCTTGTAGTCTTGAGCAGGAACTAGTGGGGAAAGATGGCCATTCCCACGCCCGCCCCAGCCATCAATACGTTTATTATCCGACAAAGAGCCCGTTGAATAGATTTAGGATATCCGAAGGCAGAGAAGAAGGCGATGTGCTTATACCTCTAAGCTAAGGTCGTTGAATTGGGGCGAATGGATGCGTCAGTTGTCTCCAGGCTGTAATCTCTGCCTAATGGCCACGCTAGATAGTCACATCACTGCGATAGCTGCTCTTTCCGTTCACCTAACTGCTGCTCTGGCAAGCAATATGCAAGAATTTGGAAAGCTCCCACTGCATACTCTTCTGTTTGGAACTGTCGGTCTTCTGGCATGCGAGGTCACTCGGCCAAGGTTGTTGGGGAATCAACCGGTACGAAAGATTGCTAGATCTGGGTAATAAACGGATACAGGGGCCGAAACACGATACCGGGAGGGGGGGGGGGAGGTTGCATAGGTTAGATCGTGAAAGAACGTTAGTCTACAGACAAAAGGAACTCTCAAGTTCATTACATGATAAATAAGTGGTACAATACGTATGAAACCATGTCTCTTAAGTGGTGCGTAGATATTTACTGTAAAAGTCCTGATGTCCGGGGCCGCTGAGAAGCGTAGAAGAGTTACGATCCATCCTAGGCCGAAGTTGAAAGGATGGTGTCGAAAAGCCAGAATGGATTAGGAAGTATCTTTGCAGTCGACTTCTTGTCAAGATGCTCTGACTGGAGTCTGATTCAACACCAGACACCAACATTGAGGGAATAAGGAGCATCAAGGATTATAATCCTGTCGTGCAATTACCGTAACTATATGGTATCCTTCTAGCATTCCACCCCAACATGGCCCGAATATATATTCTGACTGAGGCGTTAGTATCCAGGTAGTGGTCTGTCGGAGGACTATAATTGTAAATAACTCACGGAGTATAGGCTTGAACAATGGTATGGTCTAAATAACCAGCTTCAGCTTAATCCGTAGATCTGATGGCCATTAACATAAACGTCTTGGTTCCTTGAAAAGATGTTCAATCACGGGAAACCACCTCTGTTTAAATGATAGGCCAGTAGCCGGTAGAGTCAGTCGGATGAGCGGGTGAAGAGCCTGCACCCATCATCTCCGTTACAGTCTGCACACGCGAAACGATCCGCCAGCGCCCCCGGCATCTGAACCATTCATGATCAAGCTCACGACCTATCGGCACTCCACGATGTTCCTGCAGTCGGCCGCGCTGTAGGCAAAACCGGCCCAAGACTGTTTGGCTAAAGGCACAAGCATGCAAGCCCGTGACTAGCTTATTCGGCACAGGAAACTGTGGGCACCTCCGCTGCGTGAGGACAGAAACGGAAACAGTGATTCTCGCGTTCATTCCGCCATCCGCACCACGTCGCTGCGCAAAAGATGGACCGCCGGCTCATAGAGCTCTGTCTTGCGATGGTGTCCATTACTGGACGCTCAACGAAACACGGGAAACGAAGCAACATTGGCCTTTGACATGAATCATCCGCCCGTGTCGTACGTCTAAAATGTTCCAGCACGTCTCAGTTCGACGATGCCATTGCAGGACGGACGGCCTAGCGACCGTTTCTCTTGAGTGGTGCGAGGGTCGGGATCCGCTTGACTTGAGGCTCCTTGATTCGACAATGGAAAGATGCAACGGGTTTCACGACTGAGCCTTGCCGGATGGGAAAGCCTTGGGTGAAACTCTAATGGCAAGGGTCTGTAGTATTCTATTGTGAGTAGGATTCGCATCGGGGTAAAAGTTACCGAACTCGTGTTGGGCATACCTCGTGGATTGCCATGCAAGAAAACGCCGCCTTCTGACTCAAGTACACATACTAGACAGAAACCAGCCCTTGTTTTCTCTTAAACAAAAGAATGATGCTATTGGTGCTCTCTATCAAATTATTCGGTTGTGTGGTGTACCTGCTAGTTGTAGGGTAGCTTGCTATAATTGCAGAGGCCACAAGTACAGGCGAGGTTTGCATTCAGACTATCGCGCTGACATGTAGCTCTACGTGGTCCTAATTTACCATTGACCAATTAACTACCGCATCCAAGATGGGACCTTTGGAACGACACACTATTGTGGGCGTGCTGCCAAATGCTTAACGCCACGATAGCCCTTGCATGACTAGGAGAGCGTCTCTATCCGCGTTTGGAAAAAACAGCCGCCGGGAAAAGGTGTATAAAACATGACAGAAACAGCAGCAATACCAATAGAGTTGATGTGGCGCCTGCCTTGAAGAGGCAAATCATCATGGCGCAGGCCATGCCTCCCGAACAATCCAGGTGGCGTGTCCAAGTAAAAGGTAAACGCCGCAGGGCCGGTAAAGGGTTCCCCTCTTGACCGTCGGCCGTATACCGCGCATACTTGGTTGCCTGCTATGGTGTCGAAAGAGAAAAAGAGACGAAAAAGAAAGAAAGAAAGGAGTGACATGACGATGGTCCATGGTAGAACATGTGGCAGGGCATTCCCAAGTCCCAGCCAGGACTGTGTGTTTCCGCGATGCTGCAAGCCAGTTGCTACATGCTGCCTCAAAAAATGGCCATTCGTTACAATTCTTCCCATGTCAACGCACACGCTTGCCGTCAGCAGCACAGGATGACAGGCGCCTTGCCAAGCGTGCAATACGAGCTCCGTTCCCTCTACTGCTGACGGGCACGTTCAAAATTAGAACCTTTGACGTAGGTAGTATTTCAGAGAGTGTTGATCTTGCCAAATCAAGGCTACCACTTTCTCCAGCATAGCCTTCCCGCCCACAAAAAGGAGCCAAGTCAGCGATGGGCGCGGAGTCCCAGACCGGAAATCAGCTTTGGGATCGGTCTTTTGGTATCTGATGCCTGCTTAGTTTGCGTGTTATTCTGTCCATCAACCGTGTCTGACGGGTGGTGGAGAAGGGCGATGGACGGTGTTTGCCAGTTTTGACCACGTCCGATGATGATGGGCCCGAAATGCACCGTATAAGCTTACCCGGCTACTGGAGATTCATACCAAGGACACGACGGGACTGTCTGATACGAAGAGGATTCATGGCCACGAATTGTGGCCCGTCGCAATGCATGGCACCGAAGAAATGTATATAAGACGGGAGACGTTCTGCCTCGTCTACGCCATCACCATGGAACCAAAAACCATCTCGACAGCTTTTCAGTAACTCACACCTCGCAACGACCATCACCGAGAGAAAAATGAAGGCCACTCAGACTATTCTTGCCGGCCTCGTCGCCGCCTCCTCCGCCATGGCCGCGCCCGCCCGCGCCATACAGTCGGGCGATGTCGTCAGGACCAAGGCCGCGTTCCAGGCGCAGTTCAGCCCGGCTCCCGTGCCCAAATGGACCGTTGAAGAGGTGCAGCGTGCCTGCGCCCCGGACGACGGCTCTTGCACCTGGCACTTGCTCATCGACACGCACGTCGCCGGCAAGACGGACGTCAACTTTGTCGTCGACGGGCCGGGGGCCTCTCGCAACAACGGCGGGCCCCAGGACTTTGGCGACTTTACAATCACCTCTGGCTATGACCCTGCTGGCTTCACTACCTTTTCTGCCGTGGACAACAAGGACGGCCTCATTGCGTTCCCGGCGTACAGCGATGCCGAGGTTGCGAATGGCAACGTTGCTGCTGCCCGCGACTACGACGTGTACTACCTGAGCTCGTGAATGGTGGCTCTTTCTGCATCGACGTCGGGACGGATGCTGTCATGGCATTCCTGGAATAGCGTCTGCGTGTCTGGTGACCGGCGCTGCTAGGGAAGACGGAGCAGCTCGGTGTAATGATGTTGATGAGTCCAATTTTGTTTGAGGTTATCGGCCGTTCCTTTGTATAGAGCCTCGTTGGTTTGGGAGCTGGGAAGTTTTGTATAGATGCAGAAATGGAGTCATTAGTCATTCGTATGGATGTCATACAAAAGACTCCTCATTTTGTATAGATGCAGAAATCGAGTCATTGTTACGAATATCACTTCAAGGACCGCTTTGTGTCCCTCCAACAAGGGCTCGAGCCAGTAGTTATTCTTGGGCGAGTTGATGTACGAGAACTACTACAGCACGTGCGATTTCCAGACTCGTTTCAAGACTTCCACCTGAAGCCGGGATGTTTCCAGTCCAGATCCTCGATTTGCTTGGGCATCAAGCCGCTCAACTCGGCGTCGACACTGCGCGTGGCTCGCTGGCGATTATCCCTCTTGATCCACGCCCACATGAGCGCGCTGGCAACGAGCGTCATGCTCGCCGTCGCCAAGTTGAGCCCGTTTCCGACGTGATAATCCGGCGCATCCCAGGGGAGAAACGCCCACGCGGCAATCAAGCCACCTATATTGCCGCACATGACGTTGAACCCAATCGCCGCGCTCCGGGCGGTGTCGCTGACAATATTGGCGGACACGTGCGCGTTGGTCAGGGGGCCAAAGGCAAAGGCCGACGAAGCGACGAGAAATGTGGCCGCGTACCGCGCAGTCGCGTCCCCCGTGCCCAGGAACACGCAGTAGCCGACCATGACGAGAGGCGCCGACAGGACGAGGAGGACGAGGCGCCGATCGAGGCGCCAGCTAATCAAGGGGAGCAGGACGGTGAAGAAGGCGCCGACAACGTAGGGGGGCACCGTGTACAGCTGCTGCCGAACCACGGTCGCGCCCCCGTAGATGGTCTGCACAATGGTCGGCGCGAAGAAGGCGAGGCTCTGCACGGTGACATTGTTGAGGAGGAAGACAAGGGCCGTGGCGAGCGTCACGGGGCAGCCCACGCCGCGGAGCAGCTTGACTGCGTCGATGGTGTCGAGGACGGCGGCCCCCATGCGCTCCGACTCGATGCGCGCGACGGCAAGCGCCTTTTCCTCCCGGGACAGCCACCGCGCCGACAGCGGGCTGCCCGTCAGGGTGACGAGGGAAACTAGCCCAAGACCGATGGTGATGATGCCCTCGACGGCAAAGATGACGCGCCAGGCGCGCAGGCCGCCAAAGTGGTCGAGGGTCAGGATGGCCGACGCAAGCAGGCCCCCAAAGGCGCCGGCCAGGGGCGCCATGACAATGTACAGAGACAGGCGAAAGGCCAGCTCGGCGCGGCGGTACCAGCGCGAGAGGTAGTAGGCGATGCCGGGCATCATGCCGGCCTCGAAGACGCCGAGGAGGAAGCGCACGCCCATGGCCTGGGGCACCGTCGTGACAAAGGCGTTGCACACGGACGCGACGCCGAAGAGGACGACGCTCAGCGGCAGGAACCAGCCCGGGCCCAGCCATTTGCAGCACAGCGTCGCGGGGACCTCGAAGGCAATGTACGACACGTAGAAGACGCTGATGAGGCGGTTGTAGTCGTAGCCGTGCATGCCGAGGTCCCTGTCCAGACCGGCGATTTTGGCATTTCCTGGGGGCGGGAGGCGTCAACTGTCAGCGCGTCAATCTCGCCTTCTTCTCCCCCTCGCCACGTACGCACCTAGGTTGGCGCGGTCGATGAAGCAAAACAGGTACAGCAGCGAGACTGTCGGGACGACGAAGAGGTCGATTTTGAGGCACAGCCTGCCTTCGGCGGCGGCGGCGTCCGGGGGGACGGAGCCCTGGGCCAGGCTGGCGCGCACAGTTTAGTATCTGCATGTGGTGATGGACTTCTTGGTGGTGTTTGACCGTACCTCTCTCCCCGCGGCTTCTCGTCCTGAGAGGCGTCGCTGGACTGCGCCTTCATCATGCCTTGCTCACGGCTGCTGCGAGGCGGCAACGGCTGCGCCTCTAGATGCTGCACCTTGGACTCCTTGGCCGCCATGGAGGCGAATACATTCAGAAAGCTGCCTGTGATGCGGTTGAGAGAAAGGGAGGAGCGTGTCGGGAATTGCGGGGGCAAAAGTTGTCTGTGCTTTGTATGAACCCGGCGTTATTATCACGTCAGCTGTCGCGGAGCTGATGACGCTTGACTGCGCTCTTACAGGTGCCGTGCCAGTTGCCGTACCCCAGGTTCGCGGGCTTACATCGTCACCGCATGCAAGCATTTTCCGCCGTCAAATGCTTCATTGGCAAAGGGGTGGTTCCTGCTTGGCACATTGAGCGTGGGGGCCAAACCCCTCAATTTGACATGCACCAGTTGACGCCTTGTCCGAAGCCATTGCTTGTTGGTTCCGAACAACCCTAACCCTCTGCGGGGCTTTTCGGATGCCCTCTCGGCTGCTTGTCGGGTAGCTTTCCTCGTTCAATTCGTCGTCGACGTACAATAAAACGGCACGCTGGCAAGCGACGAAGCTCGCACAAGTGGTGTTGCGGCCCCCGGCAGGGTCCCCGAAGGGATATATCACAGGCCAATGTTGGCTCTCTCCGCTTTGCCTATCCCTAGGGCAACTTGCTCGTTGACCTTAGGGTCTTGTATTGTGACGGGCCTGGAGTGGACTTGATGGCGATAAGGTCTGGCTTGGTGGTTGAAAGGGAGTGTATAAAGCCCTTATGTGCCTTTCGATTGATGGCTCATCCTGGATCTGTCGGCCTTGGGGCTTCTTGCGGGAAGCACATGTAGCAGATGGCCGCCCATGCGTGCAATACCACGGCTGCGTAGTTGTAACCAAATTGGGAGGCAAAAAGTATTTTCTCAAATCGGGTACCTGGCCAACGGGCTTTACTATAATATATTATAGTATCTTGGTGTATACTTTGTGATAGGCAAGTCTATTCTGCCACATGTTTCTTCCTCACAGATTCGATACCGTCAGCCTCCACCACGATGAGTGCCGTCAGCCGTGAGATGCATGCAAACGAAATCTCCGCTATTTGTCCCAGGCACGGGGCAATGACCTTTGCAAGGAAACCATTGCAACATTATACCCACCTTTGTCCGGAGGGATGCTCGAGGCATGCTGCAAGAGAATAGCCAAATATCGGCACAAAGGCGAGGACCGAAATAAACAGATAAAAATCCGGTAAGAGTCCGGCACCACTATGATATCGAATCATGTTAGTCAAATCGCCTGAGCTAATGACCATCTTGGACAGCTGGTTGCGCACCTACCTCCCGTTGAGGAAATGGTGAAGCAAGAAAAAACCAGGAAACAAAGCCTCAACCAAGCTGCGCAGCCACGTACTCGGACTGCAGTAGTTGCTCAGACATGATAATGGCAGCAGGAGGCTGAAACGCAGCGTCACACATATCAACAGCGGTAGAAGCCATGGAGGCCACCTCGGGCCAGAGGATACCGGTAGTAGATGAGAAACGATGTCTTGGCGATACATCCAGACTGTCAAAGGGAGAAGATGGGGAACAAGACCCCGTATGATTGGAGGAATGAGAGGTAGTATGCTGCTTGTCGCCATGTTGGTGATGAAAGAGCAGTGAAGCTGCGTGCACGGAGGCGGTTCGACTAAACTGCAGTGCATTCCTGGAGGAATGAAATCAGCCATGAGCATTCGGCGTGAAGAGTATTTATAAGTGTACAGATATGGTGCGTGGACATTTTGGGTTTTGACCAAAGTGTCCCCAAGTCACCTAGTAGACTGCAAGGGCTTTACTTCTTTGTTTAGACTCGCTAGCCAAAATTCGGCCCAGCATGCACAATTTAACTGTAGCACTTGTAGAGTTTCCCGGCGCTTGCCCTAGCTAAAGCCACCGAGCAGGAGCTACGGCAAGCAGCCATGCTCTGGATGATGCGGTGTGGCTGAAATGGAGAAACGACGAAAATGTCTCGGCCTAGAAAGAGCTGTCCTTCCTGCCAACTCCAGGGGATTACCTCGACTCGGCGTCGCGACCAGAACTGCGGTTGCCGTCGGTCCCTTCAACGTGGCCAGTGTTGTGCCAGCTTTCAATCTAGCAAGCCCAAGAAGCAAATGTTCAACCAGGTGATTATAAAAGCCAGCCCTCGGGAACATGTCCAACAAGGCTTCCTCAGATAAGCCCATCATCACCAAGAACATTGCAGGTACAGCTAGCACAATCCTATCCATCATCTTGACCCTAAAGTGAGCGTTTCCATCTGACTCGTAGGGCTTAGCGATCATGACGTCCGCCAATCCAACACGTGAAGAGCTCCGGCTTGTGAAGCGCCGAATCAGCGAGACGATGCAGGACATGTAAAGGAAGCAGAAAATGTTTGAAGATGCGCAGGGGCTTATCGACTCGATCCCACCCGAATCCAGGGAGCAAATGGTAAACTCTGCCTCTGAGTCCAGATCAAGGAGCAAGAACGCGAAGAAAGGTGTTTCCAGCTCTGCAAATTATTGCTCGACGCTTGTGGAAAAGTGGACACAGACAAACGAAGCAGTTTCTCAATCATGGCTCAAGTTGGGGGAGTTGCAGGGTCGGGAGCAATACTTGAAGGCGCAAAGTCACAACGCCCGGCTTGGTTATTAGGTCCATACTTGTCATCCAGACTCGCAATCCCGCTCTTCAACTTGGCAAGCAGTTCTTCCCGTCTCTTTTCTGCCTCTTTGTCAACAATTTGCAGTCCATGTTCGCGAAGATATTGAACGTAGTTCCTGGAGTTCTCGACACGATGCCTAATCTCCTCGGCCAGCGTTCCATTCTGATTGTTTTGTGCGAAAAATTCCAAGACTACTTGTTCACGGTCTCTTTGGAAGAACATGCGGAAAATAAATCTATAAAATACGTGGAGGAGGGTCTCAGGCTGGCGTGATATTTGGACTATGGGAAAAGCGACTTGTGCTTGCCGATTCCATTCTTGCATGAGCTGCGCGCAATTCTCGGAGGTGGCGGCCTTTGTCCCGAGAGCTGCGTAGAATTCGTTGGCATTAGTGTCCGTATACAGGTTTATATACCCATCCCGTCCGTGGCCCGTAATCCACAAACGAGGTGTGAAAATTCCAACGGCACCGTTCCTGAAAACTCCCAATCGATTATGCCAGCAATACTAAAGTCTGCATCAATAGTAATGTTGCCACATCTAAGATCCATGTGGGAGAGAACAAAAGGGCCATTCGGTGACTGCGAGTTACAAATGGTAGGAATCTGCTTTGCCAAACTGGCGAGGGCAACAATTCCTCTTCTGCTTGGGCCCGCTCCAAGTCTTCCGAGGGAAGTCGGCAAGCATCCGAGAGGATATAGTACTGATAGTTTATGAAATCTTTTGTGGAAACAAATGGCCCTGGGTTGTCCCGTTCGCCTTGGTATCGGTGCGGTTCTTTTCCAGCCATGGTAAGCTGGCCGCCGACGATGGGCTCAGAGTCGCGGCCAGGGTTGGGCATCAATCAGCCAGCCATGGGGTACTCCAAGTGGTGTAGCTGGACTAGAATTTCTATGAGCTCGTCGAGAAATCTTCGTCGCTGCTTTTCCGTAGCGTTGGGCAGTGCCTTCATATCGAGGGATTGGCCAGCGACATGATTAGAGATAATAAACGCCAACGCCTCGCAGCCGTTGTTAGTCAACGTCGTGTCTTCCCCAAAAGCTCGAACTAGGGGGACAGGAATCGTCCATTCATGCCAAAAGTATCTATTTGACTCAATATTCTGTATCAGACGCTCACTACACATGTGTATTATAGAGCAAAGGGAGGTGTTGTTACCGCATCGCGGCAACTTCGCTCCGGCACTTCATCCAGACCTTGTCGACAACCGGATGGACGGGATTCCCACAACCCACATAGTTCCGTCGTTGAATTGTAAAAAAAGAAGCAGACGTTAAAACTCCCATTACCGCGTCCAACATTTTCCATGGCTTTTGACCGTTATGTCGCGAGGCCAGCCGGCCTATAGCATCCTCGTCAATATTCTGGATGGACTGATCGATTTGTCATCAATTTGCTCGGCGGTCAGAGGGAACCTTGTTGGCGAGTCTCCAAGAAACTGGTAGTAAAGTCGCTGCTCTTTCGACAGTTGGCCGGCCCTATTATCCTCTTGTCCTGTCGCCGCAACGGTGGCAGGCAGTCGCCTCGGTTTGCGCCAGGGACGCTACAGAGATCCGGAGCTCCATAAAATATGGACCAGTATAGAATCGGCATGATTCGTCATGTGTGTCGCTTGCTGGGTTTCGCTCATTTTAAATGTTAGATGTACAAATGACCCGACGCAATACCTGAACTGAGAAATGAAAAGAAAGAGTCCTGGGAAGAAGCACGATGCAAAAGATATCACTACTAGTTAGAGAGTTAGGTAGGGTAATACTAGGTGTTAGGTTGTGATGAGATTAAAAAGCTCGCCACTTATAATCCTAGAGCGAACACTGTACAAATACTAGAGAATCATCACACAAAAATTACACCACTAGGCCAAAAGTGAAGCTCGACTAATGAGGGTGGATTATCTTGGATATACGGAGTAGTACGTGCGACAAGATTTACGGGGTACACGTGTAGGGCCATGTGTGTAATTGTCGCGTATCTGCACCTTACACACGACTAGAATCTTATACTACGAGGCCGACATATAACCTAATAAGAGACGATTAATAAAATGAAAAGCTTTTAATATTCATTTTCATTAACTTAAATACTTAATTAAATTTTTAACAGTTAAACATCACTTTATCGCTTATGCTAATTAGGTTATTTTCTCGCTCCAAGTATCAGTGTACCAGACCTTCCTAGTATAACAAGTTCAACAATCGCCGAATACGTGGAGTTTAGCTGCCGGCAGTCAACCAACCATTGTTGACGAGAAAAGCCGAGCACTCGGCTTATTAGCAATGTGCCAACAAGTGCCGCCATACGAGTATACGATATAAAGAGTGTTGTCGTTGCGAATTTCGGATGTATTGGGGCAAGCTTTCTTCCTCATATGTTATTTACAATGGCTGAGTCTACTCTACAAACATACAATGCTAACTGCAGCATGGATATACCATCTGAGCGAGAAGAGCCCAAACCTCCCGCAGACTGGCCCGAAGGAGGCACCAGGGCGTGGTTAGTGGTCGTAGGAGGCTTTTGCGTGTCATTTTCGACATTTGGATACTCGAATGCATATGGGTATGGCTCCCCAGTCATCCCTTACTTCATCTTGATTCCTTGAGAATGCCACTATTATACCTCAACGCAGCATTTACCCAGACTACTATTCCCAACACATGCTTTCACATGAAACACAGTCGACTATATCTTGGATTGGATCCGTCCAGCTATTCTTCTTGTATGCCGGTGGCGTCATCGGAGGACCACTGTTCGACCGCTACGGCGCCAAAGCAAGTACACCTGTATTCCCCTCTTGACTTGGCTAACACCAGTGACTGCAATAGGTGATACCGCTCCCGGCGCTCATAATGGTTGTGGCAATCATGATGACTTCGCTGTGTACCCAGTACTATCAGTTTATGCTGGCTCAGGGCATCTTGGGGGGGCTTGCTTCAGCCATGACCGGCGTCAGCCACTACTTCCACAAACGTCGCGCTGCTGCCCTTGGAGTAACCGTCACCGGATCATCCCTCGGAGGCGTGGTGTTTCCCATTATGCTCAGCAGGATGATCAAGTCTCTTGGGTTCGCCTGGTCGGTGCGCGTTGTGGGATTTGTGATCCTGGCCACGATGACAATCGCCATCCTCACAGTCAAAGAACGGCTGGCCCCTTGTCACGGCAGCATTCTCTTACCCTCGGCCTTTAAACAGGTTCCATATACGCTCGTCGTCGCGGGCATCTTTCTCATGACACTTGGTCTTTTTACGCCCTTCTTCTACCTGCCGCAGTTTGCGCAGCAGCAAGGGATGAAGGGGAAGAATCGGACGGTACAACACTTTGGTGATTGAGGGAACATGCAGCGGCATTTTGCTGTTGTGCTGGCCTGCAGTATCATCAAACGCCAGCGTCATAATCTTTGCCATCCTATACGGGTTCTTCTCCGGAGGCATCATATCATTAATGTCTCCGTGCTTCGCCCAAGTTACGCCACAGTCCAACCAGATCGGGATGTATCTCGGAATGGCCATGGCCATGTTGGGTGTTGCCGCCTTGGCTGGAACACCCATTACCGGAGCCTTGCTCGAATCCGGCGGCGGCTATACACACCCTGCCGTTTTCAGTGGTGTGGTAATGCTAGCTGGGGCACTGATATCGGCCCTTGCTCGCTGGTGGCAAAATACGGCTTTGCTTGCAAAGGTATAAGTCGCATGTGTTACTCTTCAACCGTTGCTCAGGGGTCCGGGGCGAGCAGCTTTTTATTCAGCCGCCACTCAAGGGGTCAACCCAGCGTTTTGTCTTTTCAAGACTGGAAACGGTACTCTATTCTACCTCCCAGAGGCTGGTCATCCATCTTCAACTGATCTAAGCTGGGCTGATTGCCCATGTCGACACGGATGCCCTGGTTTTATCCCGACCATGGCTGGCTCAACCCGGGCACTGGCTCCAACGTAGGTACCAAGGCATTTAGCACATTTATTTCTCGGGATTTGTGAAGATTGGTGGTCATAGGTCGTAGGATGCGGGCAAGTTCCGTAAGACCGGGCGTTTTGGTGTCGACGGGATATAGAAATGTTGGGATTACTACCTCGCTGGAGAATGACGGGATGGACAGTTCTTTTCTTGGAAGGCAGTACCAATATTGAACATCAAGTCCCTACTAGCCACCTTTCCCGTGCGAACCGTATTCAAACCATGCAACTATCCGCAAAAGTCGATGCTCGTCCTCGCTTCGAAAAAATCAGCGTGTTGTATTGCATGAGCCGTCCTGCCCCTCTCGAGGGAATTTATCTTCATAATGGCCATCCTCCTGGGCACCGGGCCAGAGTCTCTGTTCAACTCTCACACGGATTTCGCTCGTTGCACCCGAGGGCTTACACATACTTCAGTTACTCGTCAACATGCTCGAATCGGCCTTCCCAGATCATCTCCAATGCAAGAGGAGTCAGCCGGCCAGTACTCGAAAAGGTTACGCACCGTCATTCCCTATATACAGCGCTCGGTTTCACCAAAGGCGAAAGAGTTGGTCATGGCCATAATCGGCGCCTATTTTCCCTCTGCGAAGCTTGATAGTTTAGGGACAATGTCTATAATCACGGCGTTCATGGATGCTAGCCCTTTTAGGCCGTCTTGCTGGGAAACTGTCTCGACCACCGATGTCTTGGCTTCTGCAACGTAGCTATCATGGCTTACTGGCCAAGCAAAGCCGACTATGCAGAATGGGCAGAGAGCAGCGGGTCCCAGAAATGGTGGACAGAACTGAGCGCAGACGAGCAACAACACGGCTGGTTCCGCGAGGTGTTCTTCCCTCCCGTAGAGCGATTCGAGACAGCATTTTCGAACAATGAGATTCCGGAAGGCGCGGCTCATATGTGGGAAGTTATAAGCGGCGAAATACGGAAACATACATACTGAGGCAGCATGCGAGATGGCCTCCCCATCGCCCAGACAGACCGTCTTGCCGGAGATAAGGCCTCGATAAGCACTGCCAAATGAAGCTGTCCCATGTATTATCGCGTTTACGTGCCGGGCAAGAAAAACCTGGGCATTATCCGTTCGGGCCAAAACTGGGGCGCAACGAACCCCCACGAACGGAAATTATATCTGGAAACCATGCATCCGGTGCTGATCAAAGGCATGAACTTCCTTCGCGATCACGGCGAGGAGGTTGGCTGCACAGTTGCCGATTTATGGATGTCGTCCATGCAGCTACGAAGAAGGCGGACACGGATCGCACATCCGGCCTCGCGTACTTTGACGACATTGCGTCACTTGGGAAATGGAGCAGGGGGCACCCAACTCATCTGGCTATTTTCGGCGGACTTCTGCAATACTCGAAGAGAATGGATAATAGTATCAGTTTGCAGTTGTTCCATGAGGTGCTAGTGTTGGAGCCTGAACAGCAGGATTTCGAGTACATCAGTTGTCATTCGCAGACGGGCATGTTGAGATCGCTGCCGCTGGCGTAAGGGTGTTATGAGGTATGAGGAAGAGACTATAAGGCATGACTGCCAAATTAAGGCGCCAAGTTGTAACAGATCATTCTCTCGCAGCTATCAACTTGAATACGAGTCAGAGTCTCACCATGGCATCACATTGCTCCCTCGTAGTCGGTACCACGAATTCCCAAAGGCTTTACTAGCAGTTGTCGATGGATTTGCATCTTCTTTTACTATATTTGAGTACTCATCCTAACATTATTACCGAGTTGGAAAAATACCACTGTGTTGCCTAGTCACTGTACACCTTTGCTGGCCATTGCTATCATCCAAAGTCCAAGTAGGTCAAGGGCGTGTCGCCTCGCCAGCGCAACAGTTGCCGGAAGATGCCGCCAATAGCCCCCTGGCCATCTTGGTGAATGGACCAAATTTTAAGCTACACGTTTGTCAATTACTTCTTCTGTGTATGTCTTGCCATGATGCAAACAGGTGCGCCAGCTGTTCAATGGTGTCGTCGGCAAACCCAGTACGTTGACACGGGATTCAGCTTGGCCAATGTTACCACGCGGTCGAGTCATTATACGGTCTGGCACATGAATTGAGGGTTAGAATAAAGATTAAAAGGGCTAAAACTTGTATTCAGATATCTGATAGGCGCATTTATCTCAAAGGTGAAGCGAGTCTTCTCATGCCCAATCTAGCCGCACGAGAAGCTAGAGACCATAGACGAGTCTGCCGAAGTTAATACATTTGGTACAGTAACTGTCTTTGTACTCTATAGGGTCTTTTCATCTTTAAAAACATCATCCTCTACATCTTGCATCTGCTACGCGGGTTGCTGCTCGTTTATACGGCAATGTATAGACTTGAACACTATGAATAGTGTGTTCCCTATTCGAGAATGATTTGACCTTGGTATCGCATCTAAGATATCTGAGAGGATTTCTATCAGCTTGGGGGTATATAAATTAGGACTGAGGATATAAACGGACTTGTAAAGGGTGCAGTTTCGTGTAATCCAACTTCAATCTCATAGAAAACCGGGCTGGTATTTTAATATTAGTCGCATTTTTTTTTCACCAACTCTCAATGAATTTATTAGAATTATCATACTGATCTCGCTTCAAGTTCACGCATGGACCACTTTCAACACCAAATTCAATGCCATTGTCGTAGTCGTACAGAATAGCCTTAAATAAAGACATCCAATAGATATGCCAATGTGCTTTTCGTGTGTAGGCAGGCTCGCCGAGTCAGATTGGGCTGACAGGGAAGTCAGGAGGACGAAAGGAATCACGCTTTGAAGACGCATGTTTAATAATTTAGTGTGCCTGGACGGAGTTTTAGGAAAAGATAATCAAGACTCGGCAAGAATTCCGCAGCTCCCCCTTTTAAATATATATGTTCATTATCCCTCGGAGAGAGCAAGTACCGGGACCACGTAATATATGACGCACATCCAAGACAAAATGCTGTCCGATGCCGTCCCAAGCAAGCCGAATAGTGCGTGTGCTACTCCGTTGTGCGGCGTCGAGAGGGTTCTATGCGACTGATGCGCGGTATTATCACACCGAGTAATGCGGGATAGTCAGACTCGGGAGAAAACGGCAGCATTATGGCAAACTATTTTAACAGATATGTATATGATAAAATATTGCGCGAGATAAGCTGGCATTATATAAGAGCAGCAATATTTGTATCGTATAATCTCACGCGTTCCATGAAAACAATGGAAGATGGGACGCCTCGGTGTCAGGATCCTCCAAGAAGGAACCAAAATTAATATCATTTAGAAGAAAGTCCATATCGTCGGGTGTCTATGTCTATTGTCAGCAACAGAGTTTAATGTGCATTAGAGGTGCTGAAGGTATCTTACAAGAGTGTGAAAAAAATCCGCGTCGTGGTCACGAGCCGCACCAGAGTTTGCCTCACTGGCATAGGTGCTATGAGCTGTTAATATCCCACCACTTGTCTCGGAGCTACGCAAATAGGCCATGTTGGGACTCACATCGGAGTAGTTGAAGATCTGTGCAGGGCATTATAAACGACTCTGCTCACACGTACCACTTTCTCGCTAACGTCTTTAGCCCAAGTAGCCGAAGATGTTGGAATATACAGCGACTTGACTAGCCCAATTATCATGGACAAAACGTAGTAATCGCTTACACCTTCTAGTGTTAACGTGACTCGCTTCTCCACGATTCGCCAGGCATGTTCCACGGGCGATGTAAATGGCCCGACGAGTTCCGGAATGGACGAAATAATGTTTAATGCTGATAGAATTTTAGTATTAAAACACATGATAAGTCATTAAAGCTAAGGTATAGCTCGTGGCAAAGATTCATTACAGCGAAGAGTAGTCCGACCCGACAAGCTGTTTCTGTAACAAGCCGTTATTAATTAAGCGAACGGTATTGACTTGGAATCACGACTACTGTGTCGAGCCTTGCTTGGCGGCAAACTGCCGTTATAGCGGTTGGCGGCGTTTAAATGGCGGCAGCAACATGCACCAGCAGAAGATATTGGTTCAAGATGATGCTCAGTGACGTCTCCAAATGCACCATCACCGAGTGTTTTGGACTGCCTAAATGAGACTCACCCCACGCTAGCACTTTTTGTAAAGACTAAGTCAATGAATCCGCAAAGGCTAGAATTCGATCAATCTCGGTATTACTCTGACAGCCGTTTACCACGGCGCAAATCTCAGATCGAGTGGCATATGATTGTCGTAGAAATACCTGGAACAAAGAGCCCGTCCACGTGCCTAGTGGCTAAGACGTCACTTCTTGGGTGCCTGATAGAGTCATGACTTCACCATCTTCGTTTACTGGCGCCTGCGTATTAAACTCATCCTGTCTAATGCTAGGGGGCATTCCGCGCTCCATTGCAGCCAGCAAGTCAAGCTCAGTTATTGTCGCCCACAGCCTTCGCCGCATCTCGCGATAAAATGGAGAGATTGGAGCCTCTGACCCAACTTCCCGGTGATACCCTGCCGCCATTGCCCACCGTACCGATGCCCCCGTCGATGCCCAAAGCGTAGTCTCGTGGATATAGTTTGCCCTTTTCGCAACCAGCAACAGACATTGAACTTGTAACGAGGGCAAGCTCTCCACAGAGGTTGGATGTTGGGAGTTTAGCCAGGATTCCGCGGCTTGAATCCATTTTTTTGCCATTTCGATGGGTTCTGGACTCGCGACCAGCGTGGCAGCCTCATGTCGCGTGGCTGATGCGATGGCCATGATGAGACACAACTGAACTAGAAAGTTTTCTGAAGTTTCCTCAGCAGTCTCCCAGTGGCGGTTGTACTGACGGTAAAGAGATGGAATGTAAAGAACACGGTGAGTGACCTCGACATGGTCAAGGTAGGTTTGCACCAAGGCGTCCACCACTTCCTTTCGAGGAACCAGGTTCACCAGGCTTTGTGTATCAACCTGGGTCTGATTACTGTGGCCACTCGCCGGCTTTCTACTGGCTTTGAAGAAGATGTCGTCGCACAGCCGGTTGATGAGAGGATACTGGGCTTTCACCTGAGAAATATATCGCGGCAGATGGGCAAACTGAATCGATTAGCCACAGATACCAAATGGGATCATCAGACGCCTATACCTGCTGGTAGAGATTCAAGTGATAACTGAATCCGTAGAATCTAGTTGAAGCTGCTCGACCCTTGAAGTGTATCATGCCTCTGGACGAGATTGTCTGCGGAGGATCGTTTGTCTCTTGCGCGAATGCCTGCGCCGACTGGCCTCGCCCATTTGGCTGCGGACCTTGGACATCCCTCCACAATGCTAATGGAACAGCATCTCCAGGCTCCGGCAAAGACGACTGCGGTATATTTGCAGGAGAGCTGTTCCTGTAATGACACCAGACTCGCCCGTGACCACTCTGGACGCAGCGGTGACACACGGGAACTTCTCGCCCGCACTTCACCTTTCGGCAGTAGCACGGAATGCAAGCGACTGGCGGACGCCGCCTCTTCAAGTCCGGCCTGGGGACTCTTTGGCGAGACGAACCCTAACCTCGGCCCATGTTGCCGTTGGTGGTGCTGGCAAGAATGGTACTGCATGCAATGGGCCGAGATGTTGAAGCAAGGAAAAACTGGGGATGCCGGCATTTTCGGCATTTTCGCGACCACCATTTACTTGCACGTCCTCGAAGGTGGCGGACCATATTGAGCTCCCAGAAATAGTACGCTTTGCTTGTGCGATTCCCATCGCATCGCCATGGTTCACGACACCAAATCCGTTCAAGTACAACTTGGCGGACCTCCAGTCAGACAGGACAAATCATCAAATTTTACATGCGTTAGGCTAGGCTCTATATGGCTCCTAGGAGCTCGTGTCGAACATGCATGCTGGCCAAGTAGGTATTATGAGATGCCCTGGTTTCGAGTCAAGTGGGCAGGGCACCGGCATCTGAAGCCATCGGTGGCAACTATCATCAGGCCAGGCGGAAAATAGATGATGCGTAGAGCGTTGTGCGGCCTTTGGAAACGGTGACGAACAAATGGTGCTTACCCTTCACAGCTCAATTCGTACAAAGCGCGTTCAGACCTTCAGACTCAACTTCTCATTGTGCTTCTAGTATTGTTTGGCAATAGCATTGCAAACTCTCCCCTCCATCTAGTGTGTCCGAATGACTGGTTGCTGCCGTCACCAGGAATGGCCTCCCGTCCCGTCTATCTCGCCAAATCTCGTGCGGCTTCGAGCCAACGCGCCCATTTTGCTATTTTTATTCCGAACTCCCAAGACGCTGGTCAAGATGTCACCCGGGATTTCAAGTCTTTGCCCTGTAAAGGCACCGTCTTCAACGTCGTGGGCGAACCTCTACTCCAAGGCTATGTACTTGAAATCAAAAGAAATCATGACTGCAGCAGTTCACGAGACCTGAGAGAGATGGTTTCACTGGGTCATGTAGACCCGGGCAATTTATAGGATTCCCCATACGACCAACTCGGGGAAGAGAGCCATCCGAGGGGGCTGCTGGAGCGTGAGGCGGCCATGGTAACTCCGCCTCCGCGCGGTATTGACGGTGTATGTACATTGGACCTACACCACGGCGGATATTGCTGATAGCGCGGCAGATCACTACGAAAAGATGTCAGGAGTGGACGATGGAATACCTTTCTCGACTCGAAGAGAAAGGCCTAATCAGCACTGGGGCTGTCAGCATCGCAGAGAGCCACAGAGATCAGCCAACTCACGGCATTTTTGGCCAGAGAGCCGCTTAGAGGCCGGGAAAGTCTTGCACGGGAACATGTTGCGACTCGGCTGCAAGATTAGTGTTGGGATAAAAACGACTAGCGTTACAAGTACTAAGATTAAGTAGTTATAGCTCTTCCCGGGAGTTCTCGTCAGGTTGTGCTTGCAGCTAAGGCAGCGATACGAAACCAGACGCTTTTACAAAGATTTGCAGACTTTTGGCCACATGTTTTCCCATGTTCTGGCAGGCATCCACAGATCAACTCGAAGTATTGCCTTGCGACTCCACAGGGCTGAAGGTGTGATGCTGTGTTAGGCTGACTGGCAAGTTGACGCTGACATCGAGGCACCCAAATAGCTAATCCAGTCAGCAGAGGAGTCTTTTCGTTTTTGCGTCAGACGGCGCATTCAAGCTCCGCCACGAATCGTCATCGTTGTCATCTGCCGGCTTCGAGAGATGCGCTTCCTCGACGTCGATATTCCATTTGCTTGCAACACGTCATCACGCACATCTTGATGGCTGGACGGACGTCTGCTCAGTTTCGCCCGGCCGCAACTACTATGCCAGGCACTAAACAGTGCTGGGAGTGTCGCAAAAGGCGGCTTGTTTGCGACTTTGGGCGCCCGTCATGCATCAAGTGCCGGGACAGAGGAGTGCAATGTCCCGGATATGACCACAAGCCTCTACGATGGGTTGCGCCCGGCGAGACCAGATCCAAGAAGCGAAAGGCCCAGCAGCCCTCCGTTGGCCAGTCAGCTGTGACTCGGATACCACGGGTCGATTTAAAAGATGCCGGTGCCACGGATCTGATACAAGCAATAGACTATTGTAGGTTGTTTTTGCTCTTGAAGCGGCTTATTTCGCTAGGACGAGCTTTCAACTTTTCACATACTTGGATGGTTGGAGGGCTTATGCTAACTTGACCATGACGCAGACAACCGCGTCATATGCCCAGATTTGCTCGCGACGAACAAACGAGCATGTGAAAACCCATTCTTTGCGCCGCCAGCTGCGGCAGCACACATTCTTCCCGCTATCGCGGAAATGGTTGTCTCTACCGCGCTGGGACATCGCATTTTACAGAGCAGCCATTGTTCGACATCTGACCGAGTAGCGTTGGCAACCAAGCTGCAACACCACCGAGGGTTGGCCATTCGGTTGATGGCGGACGTCTTGGCCACGGACGGCATGCGGACAAGTGACGAGATGCTCGCTTGTGTCTTGGTGTTTTTGTTTGCCGAGGTGAGGATCACTCCGAGCGACTTTGGCGAGCATCAAGTTACTGATTGGTCCTATTCCCAAATACAACAATCCATTTCATCCTCTTGGCGTCAACACGCGGATGCAGCTTGGACGATAATCAACTCACGTGGCGGCCTGGGTGACTTGATACATAGCCGCGCGCCATTTTGCCATTTGTTTCGCTATTTTACCATGTGAGTCGCTCCATTGACATAATCTGGTGCGTGCCATGCCTACTTGCTGACTTGCCGACGCTTGATGCATTGCAGCATCGACGTATTTGGTGCGACTACTTCGCCGCCGCTCCATCTTGGCCGAGCACGCCGGCAGCTCGATGTCTTGCCGGTGCTACCTACGCTGTATGGCGATGGGCTCCAGACATGCGTGCCATGTCCTCCTGAGCTTTTGGGACATGTCATCCTCGTTAACCACTTTAGGGCAGATTTACGTGGCCTTGCGGGCGAGCAGAAGAAGAATCATCATCTGTTTGCAGCGGCTAGAGCAACGTTGCAGGAAATTTGCAACTTTTCTGTGCACAAATGGGTCGACGACACCGTCCTCCCTAGTTTGTTGATGGATGATGCTGAAGAACCCCGGCGGCATGCAGGCTTGGATTCTAGCCAGACCATGGCTCGGCGATGGATTTGGCTTGCCCTGACATCGGCTTTCAAATCAGCCATGGCAATATACTGCATTGAAGCAATATTTGACGGTCGCACCTTTGAAGCTGAGGACGATGACAGGACATGCAACGCCCTCACCTCCTTTTTTGATGTCCGCATGTTCCACAAGGAAACGCTTCGAACAAACTTACAAACCGTGGCCTCCGACGAGAGAGGGAAGCTTCGAAAATTCACCATTTGGCCATTGGTCGTTCTGGGGGTGGTGACGGACCCGAGTGACGAGGCAGCCAAGAGATTCATAACGGGCGAGCTGAAATGGATTAGTGCAAATGTGGGCATTTCTTCACCTTTGATCGCCACTGAAGTTTTGGGAAAGATTTGGCAAACATCTCGCACCCGGACAGACAAGAAAGACGTGAGGTGGGACGACCTTTTTGAGAAACCGTACATTTTCGCCTTGTAACAAGACTTGGTAGTCCTGTTTGAAAAGATGGTCCTTGAAAAGAAACCTATTTAATCGTATATTAGACTCAAACTATGATTTGCAACACCCAATCCAGATATTCTATAGCACCCTTCTTCTATTACATGGCCCGCTGGAACTGGTCTTGGCAACACCTTTTGTGGCGGCGTTACGAAACGAGCATTGATTAGCACTGGTAGGTCTTGGCCAGTTTTTTTTACCTTTTAGGAAGTATATGCCCATGGCTGTGAAGTCGATAACAATAATCCGGGACCGTGGCACTGCAGCATATACGCCCTACAAAGATACTTCCCTTTGCGGTAAAAAAGATACATCGCGGGCTGCATTAATGTTTGCCATGGTACACGAAATGCCGGAGCTGAGCAACATTATTGCCTCAAGTTACTATATAAAGACCTTTAAAAGCTCAGCTGAGAAGGGACGATGTCTTCTACATTGTTACTTCTCCGAGACGTTTCCCACGTAACTGCACATATGTGTCGCAGAATGCGCAACTTGACAATCCAATCGTTGAGTATATTCTCCTGTTTCCAAGCTACTCTAGCATTCGGAAACCAGTCAGATTTCCCCATACTTGCCGACACCAACCGCGATGGTCTTGTTGACGACTTGGACAGAGACCACAAGCACATGTGGACATCCAACCACGGGGCAATCTTTCCTCACGATATCGGTGACGAGTATCACCGCTGCGCAATTCAAGATGGCAACGGGGCTTCACTCAGTAATTTGGAGCGTGCGAGCTGCAATGATGCGGCAGGGGATGTTCTGATCGCTCCGCGGTACGCGGCGCCCCTTTGCACAGCCGGCAAAATGGCGTATCCAAGTGGCAAGCTCAATTTGTAAAGGCAGCCGACGGTACCCTGGGCAAACTGCCGTCAAGAATGCCATTGCTTGTCCTCAACGACAGCATTGAGGTTTGGGCCCAAGACTTCATGCAGCCAGCATACGCGAGCATGCCAGGGCCAAACGGCCCCATTTCTCACCGGAAACTTCTTTGCACCGCACAGTCCACCCGTCCAAATGGCAGAAGAGTGTTTGAACAGCTTCGAGGACCAGGGGTTGGAGGTTGGCAACCGGGACTGGGATCGGGTTTTTGCTGGGAGAGATCAACTCTGGCGGCAACATCGAGACCATCCCCCCCTACGTCTCCCGATCTGGCACTGTTTGCCGCAACGGTCGGGTGCTGCTTGGCAAACACTTTGACAAGTACCCTGCAGGATCCTTCGTGGGCTTTCTCAAGGCACAAGTTGAACAGACCCCATTATTCCTGGAAGCTGGCTGGCCGGTCCCCGGCCACATCGACGAGATGGTCCAGTTTTTGCCTCACAATAACAAGTTGGGGTTCAGGATGGCAATTGAAAGCATAACCTCTGCCTTGAGGCTTTTCGAGGAGCTGAACGACACTGGTCATGGAGCAGCCATCCTCAGCTACAAGGGCGATATGACGCCCGACAAGGACGCAATCTTTGTCGACCCTGATCTTCACAATAGAACTGTCGATTCGCTGCTGTCCGATGAAGATTTTGTGCAGGCAAACGAGTACGCTCAGAAGTTTCTAGACAGCAATTTGGCTCTTCTGCTGCAAGAGTTACCCATTGAGGAGAAGGACGTCATTCGCGTCCCAACACTGTGGAAGGACACGACGTATCCATGGCCACGGAGCCCTGACGGTGTTCCCACCCGGCTTCACCGAACGCTCCCCGGCCAGGGACAGCTGCGGGCATTCTACCCATCAGCCGTAAATGGGCTTGTCCTCGGGTTAGACTATGTTGCGCCGAAGCCATAGGGACTGATCGTCCATGGGAGAGATGTTCTCGAGGATGCCACACGCGACGTATACGAGGCTGCGGGCATGGACCTAATTTTTGTCGATGACTACATGTCACACCACGTTCGAGGTGGCGAGGTGTACTGCGGGACGAAGACGCTGAGGGAGACGAGTATTTCGCGGTGGATGTTATAGTGGCCCGGCATATCCCACGGCATTGTTCGCTTAGACGATGTATTGGTAGAGGGTGTAAAGGCGACAGGGTATCCAGCTATAGCATGTCTTGCATTCGTGGGTAATTATAAGCGCTTCGTATTGTCCTAAATACACTACAGTATGATTTGCAGTACCTAAAACAGTCTAGCCTTTCGGCTCTATTGAGCACCCGTTAAGTGATTCGACTTGATTACCTCATCTTATAGCTATGTTGTATTCATGGGAATAGAATATCTCAAGTAGATACCCAGTATTAACTAGCTTGTTTATTGGTGTCCGCTAACGTATATGGATCCCATGGATACCGATTCCTATCGTTGGGTATCCAAGGGGCACCCAATTCTGCAGGCTTTATAGATGGACGTAAGTAAAGGCATGTATATCGATCGCAAAAGCCTTCCGTAGAGGACACCATAGTGTGGAAATATTTTTCAAGGAGCTTCAAGGTCGTCACTTTTTGTTTTAGACCCACAACAAGTATCTGGCAAAAAGGCCGGCAAACGTGTCTCTGTTGGATGACTCTGAGGTAAACGCGGCATGACAACCTGGCCGCCAGCCCTGATGGCGCCGTGTGTACGGAGCATGCGGATGCTTATGAAAGATTCAGCATCTCTGCCTAGAATCTCGGACATGTGTGGCACACGCTGCCAATAAGCCATGGTTCACTCGGAAAAGTAATTGATCAGGCGGACGTGGCCGGCACTTCCTTAACAGCAGAATACCACAGAACCGGCCAGGCTGGCAGCTTCTGGAGGTCATCCCACCACACCCCCGAGCCACATACTTGAGACATTACACGGCAAAAACAGGAACTGAAAGCCACCCAAGATATAGTCCGATGGCTGATAGCTCACCCTGGGGAGTCATCAATGTGCGTCAGCGCGTGGCACACAGGGAACAATGCTCGGCGGAAGGTCCAACTTGGGGGTGGTAAAGTAACGAAGGCTGCATATATGAGGCCTACTCCTGTTTATTCTACTCTCGTGATGAGCGAAGAGGTTGCAGCAGTGGATGCTATCAGGACTCGTACGTGCCATTATTGCCCCTGGCGGACCAAATTCGTGACGAAGGCCGGGAAAGAACCCGCCTTAGCCAAAGAGCTTCTTTTTGGTTTTGTTTCTGACGTTTGCGATTCAGACACGTTTTCATTGTTGTGAGAGGCCTTGAGATTTACGCGTATTGCTACAGCTCAGTCTGAAGGCATGGAGCCTGATGAGCAGGAACCCTGGCACAGGGGGACGAATATGGGCAAGGTGAATTCACCTACCTCGAGAACTTGTCAGACACTGTTGACGTGCTTACGCTGATTAATGCTGGGAAAAATATTATTAGCACGACAGCAGCCATCCTACTGTCTGGATCGACCATCATGACTACCCATCCGAAATTCCCTCGAGAGACTGGGCATATGTATCGACTGCACAACTTTTGGTAAGCCTACCATATACCGACAAAGGTAAGACTGCCACTTTATTTCGCCATGGGCGACCGCGAATGATTTTCCATTTGCACCTCCCAATACTTATGGACTACAGAACAACTTCCCCCGGATTCACATGGCAATAGGATACCAAGTGATGCAACTTGGACGAGAATCGACCGTCGATTCATAAGCGTCGAGATGCTCCAGAAGGCCGGCGTGCGGTATGAAGCGCGTGAGGATTTTGTCGCCATCCTAGGCGCCGTCACAAGCGCACAAGTCGTCGAGCTCGTGCAGCATAGCACCGCGATACGACAGCAGCGTCGGCCGATACATGGTACACATGTCGCGGATCCTCGTGGAGCGAAATCACATGGGTCTCAATTCACGCAGGGTAATAATTCAAGCACTGGAAGGTCTGCCCTTTTTCCTGCCGAGTCCGAGTCGGAAGAGGACGTGAACGGAAGCAGTCGGCCTAAGCGCAGGAACAAAGAAAGATTAAGACCCCATGTGAGTGGCTTTGAGAAGAGAAATGAGCTAGAGAACGAAACATCATACTCTATTTCGCGACTACAAGGCTCGGGGCATAGTACCTCGAAGATGTTGTCTCGGCAGAGTCTGAAAAGTACAAAGGGGGACCTGGCTGTTAAGACTTTGAGCATCGCTGGATCAGTCGCGAGCGTGGTTAGTTTGGCAAAGGACTTTCTGAAGAAATAATGGACAATTATATTGTGCACGCGAAAGCAACATGGCTGACGTCAGACATTAAGCTGGGTCAACATGCATGGCATGACAATAACATGGAGCACGACATTTTGCACTGTCGCTTTCAGCCGCACAAGCTTGGGCGCTGATTTCTTTTGCTTTTTCCATCATGTTTGTGCCGAGGCCGCCATCGACCATGAAAAAGTCTAGCCTTGGCATTCTTAGCACTCGTGAAATCATGCTGGTCAAAGATGGCTGTCGGGTTAACAACTCTCTTTCCCTTGTCCCCCGTTGAACTCCATCTATCGTAGTTACTTGTTTTAGTCCCCATCATACCAACGATGTTCTCTTTCGTTAAGAAAAGGCACGTTTTCGTGAGGAAGAAGCCAAAGTAAGAGCGACACGCGCTTTTCGCGCCGGCACCTCCATGGGATCAGAAAAACATAATTGGTTTGAAGACTCAGTCGGGCAGGCAGCACAAACTACACCTGAGCTGCGTTTCATATACTTGTCAGTGAAACATGGAAAGAATACATGATGTGAGGGCGGAAACTAAAAGATAATAGTTGGGGTTCATATTCTGAGGTGTCATTCAATAATTCGAACTTACATAGTGTCTACAAGATTCTCCTCGCATAAAACACACTATGTTGGCCGGAGATTGTGAAAATACGTAGATCGTCGCTCATGACGGGAATTCAAGTCTCTGTTCTGTATCAAAGATACGAACCATGGCTATACTGGCAAAAATCAGCACCAGTATCCCGGTTCATGCGGTGTCTACACAGAGTTGTCCATTTCCTCGGATCCAGCCTTATCGTCCCCAACGCGCCAAAATCGCCAAAATCCACTTTCACATGGCTCCCGCTGAGTATCACAGCAGCTTGAACCCTTGCCTAGCCACTGCTCACATTGCTATCATTGCCCTTGAACTTTCCGATGTGGGTCATTTTAAAAGAAGTAGCCCCTTCCGAGAGGGAATCGACGGGCTCCCACCTGGTGATGATGGATTCCACATGCTGGAGGCTTGCCGAACCATCCACACTTTCTCGCCTTGTCATGACAAGCCTCCTGGCTCTTGGACACGTGCCATTGAAGCCTATCAGCTCTATCCATCTCTTCAGAAGTAGGCACAGGGGCGCTCGGCTTGGTATAGTATCCCTCGTCTTCGGTATAGAACTTGTCCTCTCCTGTCCTATTTGCGCAGTACCATTCGGCCGAGTCAAGATCATAGCACCTGTTCTTGACTGACCTGATCACGGGGTGAGGGTGCTTGTAGCCACGAACTTGGTCATCCAGGTTGGGGTAGGCTTCGTAGTAATGCCAATGGTTGCTAGCATCCCTGTACTTGGCAATTTGTTGATCCGGGTCGTATTCGGTATACCCTTGCTCTCCAGATTTGAGTAGATACCTTCCAGCCTTGTACCCTATAATTTGAGGCTTTTCCCATAGTGGCAGGATAGGAAGCCTAAATGCCAACTCCAGATGGAAAGGCGTCTTGCCATCAGAGTCCAGAAGCGGCGTCTCAACAGTGCAATTGTTTGTTACTTTGACCCTTTCACAGGATTCATCTTTCCAATGTGCCCATTGAGCGCACTCGATGGCCCTTCATCAAACACAGTCGTCGGGCACTGTTCTATTGACCAGAGATTGTCTGCGCTGTCATTCCTCGAGATTTCCTCGGTTTTACAAGCGTCTTGACAGTCCAAGCTTCGGTCCAACAAGAGTATTTGGCTTCACATTGGGAATCAGCCACTTCTGAAATTGTCTTTTCCGTAGTTTTAGTCGTTGAGCGGGAATAGCCCCCGGTGATGGTGATGCCAGCCATGTTGCCAGTGTATGGACTCCTAAATCCCCCGTTGATCTGGCCCCCAATGTTCCAGCCCTGGATAGTGCTCTCCATCTTGATGGAGTTTTTTTGTGTGTTGAGTTGCATTGTGCCGCTTCTTTGGTCGTTGTCTAGTCGGCGGATCTCTTCAGTGTGAATGGCAAGGTCATAATCTACCTTGCTTATGTCCTCAAACACTATTATGATGACAAAGTGCGTATGGAGGAGATTCCAGAAGTTCCAGTTGTGGCTCACATGTTTCTTCCTCAAAGTCGGATTCGTATCGGGCATTGAATAAGCCAAGGTTGAGTCCCGGCTTGAGGTTGCTAAGAAGATCGTTTTTACGCTCCTCGCTCTGGTCCGGCCTTAGACTAGGACTCGATGATTCTTGGCAGCAAGCTCCTGCTGCGAAAAGGGCGGCTACTAGAGCCGTAACTCACATATTCCCAAGTGGTGGTCGGGAAATGAGCTGCTAGCAGGAAGACGATGGTTGTCGTGTGAGGAGCTGGGCAACAAAGAGGCCAGTAGGACATGACTGGATAATGCTGTACGGTGGCTTGCTGAGGGAGCGCCGTGCATAATATATAGAAGGTAAATCAGTACGTAGGGCTATACTTGTAAAATTAAGTTTACATGTAACTTGTTCAGGTATGATATTCATTCTCGCATCACGCTTTCTATAACGTAAATGTATATTGCACGCATGAATCATGACTCATCTCTTTGTATAGGCACACATAGTGTTATAAGGCAAGCTCTAATTGGAAAATATGCTCTCCAGCGAGGATTGGGATAGAAAGCCTTACCGGTAGGGCGATGTTAATGGAGGAGTGGCCGCGATACAGCCGCTTGCAGGGGGACCGAAGGACTCAGAAGCATCAAATTTTGTCAATAGCCTCGCCAAACTGTTAGCCCCCGCCAAAGATTGAACTAATCTGGTCTGACTATGCTTATTTTTTAGCAGAATGTTGGACACCGCAGGCCTCTTTTTGGTTACGCGATATTTGATCTCTTTACGTGTGCGCGCCCTGATGGGGCCCGTCATACAGGGTCAATAAGCCAACCAAGCGGTCAATACCTCAGTAGCTTATTATAGATGATTAAACAAAATACCAGACGTATATATTATTTTTTCCCTATTTCAATCACTGCATCATACCGGACTATTTCTATCCTAGGACGGTTATGTATCTCGGTATATTACTTAACCAATGGGCGCGCACGCGGAAAGAGATGGGATTTTGATTCCAAAGAAGGTGGCATTAATTGCATGAATTAATCCCGTGCATTCCTGGTTTTCGTCTATACGAGCTACTCTTCGTCCATACGATATTTTATAGCCTGCAAAAGAGACGAATGAGGTGTATATGCCAAGTACTTTAGTTGATGTCCCCGTGAATCCTCTTGTATGCTAGCCCATCAACGAGTGTCTTGTTTCTTGTTCATAGTGACCAAGAGTTCCTCGTCAGTTGAGCCACGACACAACGTTTTTCGGTATGCGTGCTCTTTTGGCCGTATCGCTTTACCTCTGCCTCGGGAGCAGGGCAGCCCCGGTTGCCCTTCTTCAAAGGGCCGTTACAGTCGGACCGCCCTACGAGTTAGGAGGAGGAGGAGCCCGTCTGCTTCTAGAGGTCAACGTACCACCAGAGATAGAGCTTCTCCCCGAGGGAGCAAGACTGCCGATAGAGAATCCTGAGACGACTTTACCCGAGGGGTTGCCCCCTACTAAAGTCGAACCGCCAAGGCAGATACCAGGAGAACACAACCCTGACATGCCTGGGCCTGAGGGATACCCGCCGCCACTACCGGGCGTCGAGAGTCCCGAGGCGTCTGCACCCGGAGGACCCGAGGGACTGCCACCGCCCGCGACCGAACAATCCTCACGGGGGGGCAAGTCCCTCGAGGACATCAAGGAAATGTGGTTTAAGGAAAACAAAGAAGGCAGAGCAGCCATTTGGGAAAAATCCCGTGCATGAAATATGGAACTTGTTGAGCAGGGATGAAAGGTTTATGCTCGTGCTCGGAAATCCCGGTGCCAAAAAGTGGCCACACTTGACGCCCGAGCAAAGATTGCATCTCTGGCAAGAAAGGCCTATATTGAAGTCAAGCGACAACCAGAAAGTGTGGGCTCTCTTGACGGCGGAGCAACGCGAAACGTATTGGAATCAGGCCCCCAAGTGTGGCAGAACCTGACGCCACAAGAACAACTGACGATTGTTGAATCAGTTCGTAAGCACACACTTTTCCAAGGCTTGTCAGGCGAGGAAATACGACGAACAGTCGCAAAAATAGACCAACTTCCGCCAAAGGAAATGCAGGCTCTATCCAATGCCAGCATCGAGGCGATGAAAGAGGCCGCCATTGAAGTGCTTGCTGAAGAAAGTAGGCAACTTGCAGCACAAGCGGCAAAAGCCAAGGCGGCTGAAGCAGAACACCCAGTGGGCCGCTAGGCAACTAGCATTTCCTCTTTGGAATGCCGAAAGATTCATCTTTCGATACTGGAAATTACATTCAGAAGCCGTACTATGTGGATAGGAACCATCCTATCAGGAGGAACATGAACATATGAGACTGTCAAGCGTTACTCCGTGGCTTATTGTACGAAGGGGGAATACTCATGGTAGTGAGAAAGGGGGCAACTTATTCACCCTTTATCTCAAGTATCCCTTGTTATGCAGTAACATCTTTATTCAACCCAGCATCTGGCACTAGCCATAGTCTTTTTGTTGATAACTTTGCCATATCTGTACTCCGTACGAAATTAGAAGTCGCCGCTCAGAAGTATAGCATATCGAAGATAGCCCATCAAGGTCAAATCCCCAATTCAAGACAATGACATTCTTGCAAGGCGATTGCAGTCTAGAGTTCTTGCTTTTGTATGGTCCCACTCCTTTACGAAAGGGATGAGGACTCCCTTGTCGCCCATTTCAGGTATCATGTCTTACCCGTACATGTTGCAGTTACATTGAACCAACTGTGCTACGTGACAGGGCACTTTTCGGGGTTTGTTGCGCATGCCCGACTTCCGAAGGCGCCGGAAATGTAGAAAAACGCGGAATAAAACATCAACTGTTCGTCCATCTCATGCCATGCCATCACATTGCGCCGCTGTCAAGATGAGCCAACGGATTAATAGTCCTTATCGCTAGAAAACTCTTCAAAAAGATTGATGGCGCAGATTCAACAATAAAAAAGACTTCAATTCTGCAGGTCCGTCTGAAGCTCAATAGATTGATGGAGCACAGAATGACTAGTTGCTTCGAGATTCGGAGTGAATAGAGGTTGCCCGCCCCCACCATTGCAATGCATTCCCTATGAGTAGTGTTGAGGATATTTCCACCCGCAGTCCCAGACTAGAAGCACACACGCTAGAGAGAGGAGTTGGGTCTTGGAAACCGTATGTACTATTCCCGCGTTGCATTTTTCGTCAAATGCAGCCTAAACACACGGCTATTTAGTTGATAGAATTTGCTACTTAATCGTAATGAGTGTACGAGTGCAGTTCTTCTAGTAGAAGATGCAAGTGTGTCGAGTAAAGAGAGAATATCGCACCCCTACCCCAACATAGTCATTTCAGTTATTCTCATCTCAAACTACCAGCGTCAAATGCGTCCGTTGCATGCGACACAAGCTTCACAACAGGAAATAAACGCCATGTAAAATGACGTCAGGGTTAGAAATGAATAAAATGGCCAATACATGACAAGTAAAACACTTGTTGATAAGTTGATTCATTGGCCGTCTCGTAGCTTGGGACGAATCCTCATTCAAAGACTCTCCTTTTCCTTGTCTCTATCAGCACACTTGTAGCCCTGGTGCCAGCTGCAGTAACCCGAGCAACAGCTAGAATTAAACTTGCATTCTGCTTAGAGGTTAGGACAGTACAAGAGCAGAGTAGGCAGCGTATACGCACTAGTGCCATTTTTCCGACAATTTGGCCACACAGCTGGATCATCAGAGTCTGTCATGATGTTTATCACAACGGGAGCCTGAGTAGACGGCTTGGTGTCTTCCTCTGGGACTTTCACAGCAACAAGGACTTCTTCCTTCTCGTATTTGAAGAATTGAGGCGCGGCAAGCACGGCCGTGGCAAAAGCCAGAAGAATAGAGTTCTTGGCGACCATGATGAACTTCTAGATATAGATTCGAGTGGACTGAAATGCCAACGGCTTCTGGTGGATATAAAATTGAGCGGATTCGAGTTTGGAGAGTTGATGAGCTGGTTTAGGTGTCCAGGCTATAGAAATAACTGGGAGTCAGTTGGGGTTTATGTAGTTGAGCAGAAGGAGGGGGCCCCCTGAGGCCATGTCGATCAGTCAAACAATTCTTCACCATCACCGAAGACTGTCCTGTCAAGAGGATGTAGGTTGCAAATGTTGTCACCCCCTCAAATCTCAAGACATGCATCGCCCTCAATTTGCGAAGAAAACATCACATTTCATTTATTTTCATCCTTCATGACAACCCTTAGTCAAGCCTTTGCAGGTGACTTGTCTTTCTCACAAGCTTTTGTGTGGTCAGGTATCAGCCATTGCTCATTATCATCTGAAGAGGGGTGAGATGTGCAGGCTCAAGTGAAGAGACGATCATCTCGCAAGCCACGGAATTGACTGACGAAAACAAGGATTCACGGATTATTAGACCTGGGCGTTATAAATTGTAACCCTGCAGCGCAATGGCTGACGTTTCCTTGAATGAGAGACTCGATCTCGACAATACGTAGCTGTGTTTATGGTCTGATAATGTTGGTGAGAAACGGCTCAACGAGCCAGTAAAGCTGACGCAGATGCAGAAAATATGTAATTTTCAGGTGAGATGCATGCATGTAGGAGACACACACAGCAGGACTGACTCGATATTTGCTGTGTTGTCTGCAACAATTGCTCGAATACCGGTTTCTTTACTCCGTACTCCGTATGCGTAAGCTTGATCAGCATATCCCACAATCATGATTCAGCAAGGCATCGTGGCCGCTTTCATTCGGTGTCATGTCTCATTCCAATTCTGCTCTTCTCGTCACTGCCTCATTGTCAACCCATACCACTTCATCACAAACATGTCTTTCATAATATTACTTGATTAGTCGAAGTCACGATTTCGGCCGCACCAGGGCAAGACATACTTTCTGACTGCATGAAGCCAGCCTTGTACACATCCCGGCGAAAATCCCGGCAGAAATACGAAGTACTCCGCGCTCTCTTTTACCGCATTGGAAAAGCCAGGCTCTTTCTTGAACGCGATCTTCTGCGGCATTTATTTCCGTCCTGGGTTGGTTATCGCTATCTGTACTTCTCTCCCGATCCAGTGACCGGCTGGAAGCTCGACCCTACACAACAATGCCGCCGGGCTGCCTCTTTTACACGACGCATTTCTGCTATTGGTCGCAATCTGCAATGGAAGATGAATGTCAATACGAAGGTAAATGTGTGGAGGAGTGGAGTGGACGTGGACTGCATTCCCAATGGTCAGGGTATTGCCCGTCTGCATGCTCGCAGCGTCTCCGGTGGCGTTGCTTACTTTCGGCAGTCACATTTGATGAATTGTGATAAACGATCAATGATGCGGGGAAGATCTCGAACCCCACAAAACACTTCTGTCAATAACTCGGAGCACCGGACACTTCCATGATGCTTGAGGTGTGGAGAGTTAGCTGCGTCAAGGAATCATCACAACTAGAGCTTTCTTGATATCGCATGATTGATGCTTCGGTGTTGATTTACGTGAATATATGGTGTATATAGTGTAGCCGACGGGATTACTAAATAGAATTAGTTTCCACTTCAATTTATCCACCAATTTAGCTATCGATTGGCGTTTTGTATCTCAACCGTCTTTAGGCACAATGTGGCCTTATTGCCTTGGGAGCTGCTACATGCGCGATAGTATTGGATGGATGGCCTGAGGGCGATGAAGAAGACGAACCCGGGGATAACCAATAAAGAGTAGTAGCGGAGAAATCGCAGTTGATGCCGCAAGTCACACATGTTATCGACTACAAGCAATGAGCAACAGGAGCCAATAAAATATTTCCCGTTTAGAAATTGCCGATTACTGACGATTTTTCCGAGGTAAATTTTGGGCTAAGAACTTATAACCTTTCTGACAAAAGGCACATTACCGGCATATCATCACCAGTCAGGCCGCCAGCGTCCTGCACCGTGTTATTCTTCCTTCTGGCCCTCTTTAGGCTCTTCCTTGGGCTCTTCCTTTGCCTCCTCGCATCGTTTCTTATCCTCCTCTGCTTTCTTCTCAGCCTCCTCCGCCTCCCTTTTCGCATTCTCGGCTTCTGTCTTACCCTCCTCAACCTCCTTGGTACCCTCCTCAACAATCTTCTTCATATCTTCAGCTGTCTTCTCAGCCTGTTGGACGTTATTCTCATCCTCCTGAGCCTTGCGCTCGAATTCCTCAGCCTGCTTCTCAGCATCTTCGGCTCTCTTCTTAGCCACTTCGACTAATTGCTCGCTTTCTTTGACCTTGGCCTCAGCCTCCTGAACCTTTACTTCATCTTCCTTGACTCTCTGCTCAGCCTCTTCAGCCTCCTTTTTTGCTCGTTCGGCTTCTGTCTTACTTTCTTCGACCTTCTTTTTATCCTCTTCAACTACCTTCTTTGCCTCTTCGACAACTTTCTCAGCCTCAGTAGCCTTCTTCTCATTCTCCTGGACCTTTAGCTCGTTTTCCTGTGCTGTCTTCTCTGCCTCTTCGGCCTTTTTCTTAGCTTCCTCTGCTTTCTGATTAGAGGCCTCTGCGTTTTTCTCACACTCCTCATTGCCACCTTCAGCGCGGGCAAAGACGTGTGCCGCTAACATATTCCCCACGGTGCTTGTGGCTCGGCCCTGGGCGTAATTACGGCTGTTAGCTATCTTTTGGAGCCACGTCGTGCCTCAACCCATGCTGGATCTTTCTTACCGCGATGTGATTGTCACCTGCTGGGTCCATTCTGACAGCTATAGAAATTTTAGCGCGTCACTACTATTTTGTCGATGCGGCTCGTGTTAAAACATACATGTAAGAGACCCGACTTTGCCTATTGCCAAGGGAGTGGCAGCAGCGAGCGGTCCTGAGACGGCAACGACATAGACGAGAGCCTGTTTGAACTTCATACTGCTAGTGTAAGGAATAATGAGATGGCAGATTTGTTATGGGACGAGATGCACTAGGTGTGACCAGGAATAAGTTCAAGAATAGAAAGGCTTGTCAATGTAAGAAGATTGGGTCGATAGACATGGCTGGGCATTTATACAAGTCTTGGCATCCGAAGCCTCTTCAGTTCTATGACTCGGAATTTTACACAAGACTCCCAATTACTAATTTAGTCACTCTCTGGGGTAGCGGCTTGACTCTCGCAGTGCATTTAAGACTATACTTGTTAGATCAGCAAAGGTCAAACTAGCCAATGACATAGTGTGTACTAAAGGAAAGCTTCACATTAAGCTTGATAACGCGACATTGAAGAAGCATCAAGCTCAATTGGTGCGGCGGTAGTGGCACAAGCCCGGTGTATCGAATTGGCGTTTCGCGTGATGAAACGGTCTCTAGTTCCTGAAGTCGCCATGAGAGAAGCCGATCTTCGTTCCGGACGGGCGCGGAGAATTAGGGTGTCGCACTCTGGGACAGGAAATTAGGACGAGGATCTCGGATCGGAGAATTCCGTGCCGTGTTTGCCGTGGTGGAGAGGCATTACAAGGATGTGGGTGGCTGATTTAAAATCATGAAACTAGCTGAATCACTTGACGACTATATTTAGAGGCATCATGTTAAGGTGGTCTGGAACATATCGATAGCCATCAACTGCTCTAGCCATTTTTATGCGTAGCGCCCGCCCCAATCACTTGGAACTTGCAACAGACTCGTCAAGGAGTGAATTCACAAAGTTGAGTCGATTCCCAAGGGTGAGTCCCCAGGCATGACGATGCGGGGATTTCGTGCTTTGAGCTAGTAGCGCAGTTTTGCTTGCTGAGCTGGTGAATGAGTATGACTCGGTTGATAGGTCAGGAAAATAATATAATAGCCAGTTGTCATCGGAGTCTGTAAATAAAACGTTCCGGTCTGGGTTGGCTGGCCAGCTTTGACCGTCGATTGGTTAAAGCTGGCATGAGTAGTGCCAAATTTGTCACAATAATCTGTCACAATCGTAGAATAATAAAATAGAGTAAAGAAAAAAGGAAATTGCAAAGCCCACATCTAGTACAACATGCATGATGCGTATGAGGTCAGTACGGAACAGCCGGCCCCTGATGGATGAAAATGCTGCCGGTGTGGTTGGCAGTGCTGTCTATCAATTCATTTGTTACGAGTTGAAGTCAAGGGTGCACTAATGATAGATGTTAGAGACATTCAGCTATTGGACCAATGTTGCCAGATTTCCTGGCCAATGACTTGATGGCTATAGCTAATAAATTAGGGTGAGGTCACGCCGCCTGTTCAGAATACATGTTCTCTACTCGGTCTTTGCTACTGCTGAATCATGGGAAAGGAGCTGAATGAAAAGTCTCCGAGTTTAAGCCGAGCTTCCAGAATTCCGCATCCGGCTTTTCATTCACGCCGCATAAACTGGTGAGTCCCCTCCGATATATATTGTCAAGCAGCATACACTGGGCATCTATGTAGCGAGAAGAGAGGGCGAGTCTAAGCTTAATTAGGTTGTGATGCGTACTAAATCCTGTCTCTTTTACTCATGAGTGTTTTCACAGCTTCTTCTTCTTGAGTGACACCGCCTTCCTGCTCAGGGTTTTAATCGCGCCCCGCCGTGCCTTGATATCATGGGGTTTGAGACATTCTAATAGTATCAGGATGTAGTCTTCAGGAAGGGCTTCCTGATTTGTGAAAAAACTTGGCCAGCTTCGATCGTACGCGCTCCCCAGGATCTTATTGAGAGGATCCTATCATAAAGAGCGCTTTCATTGGTAAATTTGTCGCTTGATCAAGATAGGAGCTGCGGAATTCCGTACCTCACATCTTGTACAAGGCCGACACTGCATCGGATCATACACCGGTGGAAGGATGCTTCGGCGAGTCTACTATTTCTGATATCAGCCACTCTGAAAATCTTTCCCGACCCTCAAAGACCTGAGATGCATGCAGGCGAATCGCATAAGTCTCAACTATTAGCAAAAACGGCATCAATAGACCATATTCTCTGGCAAAACCACACGAGGAGATGAGAGCAAATTGACGGCAGTCTCCTGTAACCTCCGTGAGATTCTCCTTTTAAGCATGAAAGGGTTGAAAAAAATCATCGGCCTTTCTTTCTATGAATGTAGAGCTGCGACTTGGACACCTTCGGGTATATCTCACATTCGACTTGTAAGACTTGATTCAGGATTTTGCCCAGAAACTCCCATCTCAGTTGCCAAGTCATACAATTTCTCTGATGAATAAAGATGCCGCTCTTCATGAGGGTTAGGGTTAGGTCGATTATAGCTTTCTTGATAATCTTAACGAGCCTAAGAAAGAAAGCCTTGCAAACGTATCGTTGGGGGACGACTTTGAACCTCATAACCTTAAAACTATCTTTTCTAGATGCCCTGTAGTGAATTCTATAATGTCGCTATGCAGGAAGAAGTTGGAGTGTCGCGATCTCAGGTTGGACTTCACAATCCGGGAAAGCAACCAACGGTCAACAACACTTCTTTCAGGCATTCCAAGCGGAAAAAGAGACTTATATCATTTGATGAAATCTAATGCAAGAGGCAGTCCTTGCGAGCTCTCAATTGTTATTTGCGGTTCAACATAAAGATGCATGTTTAGTAATGACATAGTGTCGCAAGCCAAAGGCATGAGAAAATCCGAGGATTTGCCGCACAGTTCCCCACCATGGCTGAAGGTTGTGTGTGGTCACACAAATCAAGGGCAGGGGAAGAAATATCAGCAAAAACCCCGATCGGTTCAATGCCCTCTCGTTACATCCCAGCAGGCCTGTGTAACCATCGTCACGTTGTACAAGATTTCATTCCGATATGTCATGTCCTTATACTAGCTCTTAAAGTTGGGTTATATTTTGTATAAGCGGACAGCTCCTGTTCAGTATCTAATTTGCTCGCATTTGTCGCGCGGAGCCGGGATAGACGGTTGGCGGTTGACTGTTTCAGGAATCTAGACCCCGAGAGACGTGGCACTTGATCAAGTACAAATCCATGATGGCGGGCAATACGCTGTTTATGACGCCGGAGGAGTCGGTGCGTGTGCAAAAGACAGTGCAGGATCTAAGACGGAAATGTCAAGAGCAAACGGGCCAACGACGGGTGCCCAACGACGCAAAGTCTTTAATCCAACAAGCGACTGGATCATCCTTGATGGAAGACATGGCGTCTTCGTTGTTCGGCCTGTCACAGCAAAGAAACAGCCCGGATACCATGCCGGCATACGCGGTCGGATCGCCGTACCTACCGTGCACGACAGCATTGTCGGAACTGAAGCCTATCGGGCTGTCAGATCTGACTATGGAGACACATCATCGTGGGCGTGTTCTTCGAGTGCGCCGTGTGTCCCCCGTGGTCGCATTGAAAGCGTCCTCTTGGGCGGTTGTGCAGGGACAGTCAGTTGACGATGTAGAGCGGATCGAGGTCTTCTTGCACAAATCCAAGTACGGCCAGGAACTTCTGGATTTAGGTTCCATCTTTCTAGTCAAGGAGCCGTATTATACACTCAACAGCCAGGGGGAGCCTGTAATCCGCATTGACCACCCGTCGGACCTTGCTATTTCCACGTATAGCGATGGTCCAGAGTCATGGCGCAATACGGAAAGTGATTCAGCTGTCACAGCCAGGACGGCTGCAATGTGCAAGGAGGAAGGGAACGTTGCACTTGGGAAGAAAGACTTTCCACGAGCTCATGCCAACTATACCGAGGGTTTAAGTCGCATTGGAATTGATGATCAGGCCAGCAATACCTTGGCTAACGACCTCCACCGGAACCGGTCCTACATCAACCTTCTGCTTCAGCGCTTTGAGGAGGCAAGGTCTGATGCACTATCATCTCTAAATCATAGAGATGGCCAGGATGAGAAGCTCTTGGATGCAAAGGCCTACTATCGTGCTGGCACCGCCGCCTACAGCCTAGGCGATTTCGAGGATGCAAAACGTTTCTTTGACGAACAGCTAAAGCTTGAGCCTGACAACCGACTGGCACAGATCAACTTGCGGCGAATCAACAAGCGCATCGAAGAGAAAACCACTGGAGTATATGACTTCACCAAGATTGTCGGCAACTTGTCCAAGACCCAGGGGCGGGCCGACGCGGCAAGCTTCAACGGCGACACCGAAGTCAAGAAGAGCCCTGGAGCTGGCCGCGGTCTGTTTGCCAGACGGGATTTTGAACCTGGGGAGACCATCATGTGCGAGAAGGCCTTCTGCGTTGTATGGGGCCATGAGCCCGGGGCATTTTCTGCCCTCACATGCGATGTCCGTGATGACGCCGCAATCCGAGTCTTCCCTGCTGGCTTGCACAAAGCTGTGATGCAGAACCTGCTGAACAATCCCTCGCAGGCTCACAAGGTCCTGGATCTCTTCAGCGACTATAAGGGACTCGGCGGTAAACCCCTCGAGCAAGACGGCAACCCCATAATTGACACTTTCCAGGTTCACGACATTGTCCAACGGAACGCCTTCGGTCCTGGTCAACAAACTGAGGACGAAGATGTCACAAACGCCAGCACAGGACTCTGGGTCCGCGCAGCGTACATCAACCATTCATGCGTCTCAAACGCCAAGAAGGACTATGTGGGCGACCTCATGCTCCTCCGTGCTACCCGTCGAATCGCTGCTGGCGAGGAGATAACACACAGCTATGACGAGTCTAGCGACTACGATTCGAGGACTGCGGCCATCCAAAGGACATGGGGGTTCAAATGTCACTGTGCGCTGTGTGCAGCAGAGGAGGCGGATGGACCAGCTTTGCGGAAACAGCGTTTGGAGCTCGAAAATGAGGCAAATGCATTTTTGCAAAAGGAAAATCCATCCGGGGCAAAGAAGATATCAATCAACAAGGCGAAACGACTTCAACAGTCGCTCAAGGACACCTACAATGATAAACGATACAAGGGTCTGCCTCGTCGAGCGGTGAGCGGACTGGAACAGTGGCTTCAGACTGCCTTGCCAGGTAGCTCTTGAATCACATAATAGTTACAGGGAAGCCACAGTCTTTTGAGCGGAGAAACGTGTGTAAACGATGGACATTCAATGGAGAGGAAAGTCAGAAATCCCGCATACGCTGCACTAGATGGTTGATCTTTTCCTGCTAGGAGCAGCACGATGGTTATGGTGTAGATTTACAGCCTCGGTCCCTGCCCCAGACGAGCACAGCGCAAGACATAACAAACGTGCGACGATATTCCGACTGGCAGCAACATCTTAATGCTCTTTTGATTGCCTGACGGAAAGGATGAGATACTTTTGAATAGCCCTGAATCTTCAAATTTTCTCATGACTTGACTGTGCGGCAACAGCGCTACCATACCCTTTGGGGGTTGAAAATAATCCGTCAAAGTGGTGTTTACTGCAAATAATCAGGCGAATCCCTATCTACTTACTTTTTTGATTACATATTTACAAACTATCTAGTCGATGGGAAATCTGCTGTGCAGTAGACCGTAGCATTGAGTTTCGTAAAATAAACGCACGTTTCAAAACTCGCCAACATTCAAGAAAGTGGCATCTATTTGACACCTAGAACCCTCAGAATTTCCGCGCGGTAACGCATTCTTTGTAAATTGTAACTTTCCTCACCCGGCTGTGCCAAGCCAATACTAGTGACTAGACAACAAACAAAAGATAATGCCAACAAAAAATATGCTCTCGTCGAGAAGGATTGTTTTCAGTTGGCACATAGCTTGAACTTTTTCAAGACGAAGAATTCGAGTAGCTGCCATATCACTCTTCTCCGCCTCACATCATGCAAGACAGAGTCACTGGCGCGGCGCGGCCAACAAGCTGCTGGAGAACTTGGAACAGCCCAACTCACGGACAGAAAGCGTGTACTTGCACATGTAACCACAGGCAGGATCGAGTCCCAGGCGCGTAACTATTACGGGGCGCAAAACCGCATTCAGTAGCGTTTAATTCTCCAGGGTAACGGTTTAGGCCAGATGGTTACGGTCGAAGGCGTTGAAACAGGCCGTGACATCCGTAAACCTCACGTCCATCATTGTAATAAAGAGAAATAAAAATTACACAACGGCTATGAGCCTCAGAAAATGAAAAGAAATTCCTTGTGGGCAAAAGAATGAAATAGGTAAGTCATATTACCTCTAGGGGCTAACTATGCATTTCCCTTTATAGCATTATTTGACACAGCTGCTAAATTACACCCGAGATTTGAATCCGAGACACACCGCTAGAGATACTGGATGCATTTGTAAGAGTGGTTATCGGGCTTAATACTAAGCCATGGAGCAAAAGAATCCAGTAATAGCTTCCCATAACCGAATATCCCTGACATCCAGCTTATAAGTGTGCCCTCTTGGTCCCCTCTCTCTGTGGCCTCCGACAGCATTATATATTGGTATTTGGCCCACAAGCAAGACTTTTAGTTGATTTTCAGGGCTTTAAATGGATCCTATCTGTGCGTTGAATAATCATATCCAACTTTGTACACCACCCGAGGTAACGCGCTACATATTGCAAAGTATCCTTAAATAACTAATATTAGGAAACATACCCTATCATTCCATCGAAATTATTTCGAGAGCTGAAGATCCTTTCGAGATCAATCTATTGAACTTTCACTTATACCTCGACTATGTCTTGCTGGAGATTCGAAACTACTCGGGCATATTGTCCGAGAAAGAGAAACAAGTCATTGCAAAGCTTATTACCAAGCAATACAAGTCATGGACTCGCAGCATTTTGGGTCAGCGTGATTTTTCATGAGAGTCCCGTCGGATATTTCTACCCTGGGTAAGTCAGCCTTCCTCATCGTATTTTTCTTGCCATCTACCAGGTCGTGGCGGTACATGAAATGATAGTAGGTCGCACTACTCATCCGATGCTCCACTTCAGTTCATATCCCATAAGGTAACTCTAACCCAAACCCAAACCACTAACCCTAACCGCTAAACCCTTGGTCCGGGGGGGGGGGGGGGGGGGGGGGGGGGGGGGGGGCGCGCGATTG